AGAAACCCCAAAGATAAAATTGACCTGGAAAATCAAGGCATATATGAAGTCCCCTGTGCACCATGCCCTGCCACATACATTGGACAGACCAAGAGAAGAATAAGGACCTGCCTGGATGAACACAAAAACACAGTAAAAAAGCTGGAACACACTTCCTCACTAGTCCAACACATGAAAGCCAAGGTCATAGCATCGACTTCAATGGCACCAAAGCCCTAGCCACTATAGAAAACCCCAGCCACAGAATTATCAGAGAAGCCATGGAAATTGAAAAAAGACCTGAAAACATGAATAGAAGAGATGACTCCACCAGGCTGTCAATTATTTGGAAGCCTGCACTCACAAACAAAAAAATCTCCACACCACAAGCCAGGCAAACACCTGGGCACAAACAGATCCCCCCTGATACCTTCAGCTCAAACACACCGCAACCAGGCACCCAGATGAAACCTAGTTTCCTAATAAATGGTAGCTGTCCGTTTATTTGGAGCCAAGCCGCACTAAAAGCCTCCAATACAGGAAACACAATGTTGCAAGCCAATCAAGACAAAAAAAGCTACAAAACAGACAGAAGATATTAGAAACACCAATCAAACAGAACGCAGCAAACTCCAAGACCAATAAACACAGACCAAGACTCCCAACCAATCAGAATGAAGAAAAAACCATTCTGGCACAGCAGAAGGCTAGCACCAAATTTAAAACAGAAATGGCTGTGAAAGTCTGACTCACAGACGAACACAATACACAATCCTGATGATGGCAGATGAGATTCTGCTGAAACATCACTACAACTTAAAAAGCACAACTATAATGACATGGGAAAATACCCGAACAAAGCTGAATAGCATATATGTACATACCCATGAAAACTTAAGAAAACACACACACACACACACATACACACACACACAGAATGGAGTTAGAAGGGGCCTTGGAGATCTTCTAGTCCAACCCCCCTCCCCAAACAGGAGACCCTACATAATATCCCAGAGTTAACAACTGTTAATAAGAAAGGCAAAAAAATAGTCTGCATAATGGGCATGACCAGTACCTGGGAACAGCAGACGAGAAGAGAAAGAACTAGAGACAATCAAAAAATACAAAGGCCCACAAACAGAAATGGACCCACTATGGCAAAAGTAAGACTGATAGTAACAGGCACCTTGAATACAATCCCAAAAACATCTGGAGCACTACTTGAGCATCTTCAGTATTGGCAAATCACTATCTGTTAATTGCAAAGGACAGCTTTACTTTGAATAGCTCATATTCTGTGATGATATCTTTATTATTGTTAAACAACAGCTTCTGTGTGTCCCTTGGAAAAGATCCGTTAGATAGATAAAAATGCTAAATCTAGACTAAATATCTGGCTGACTGTGCAATGAACCATAATAACCACATTAAAATAAAAATGGTTCTCATGATACAACAGCCTCAGAATCTTTGCTGCTCGTTGAAATGCATCTAATAAATGGCCCTTGGTTCTTTCTATTTTATATAAGTAAACATATTTCCAATATTAAAAAAAATATCCTGCTTGGAAAAGTATACAGTAAGAAAATTGTTTCTTGTCTACATATACATATAGAATAGAGTTGGAAGGGACCTTGAAGGACTTCTAGTCCAACCGCTCTGCTCAAACACAAAAACCTATTTCAGCAAATGGCTGTCCATTCTATTCTTAAACACCTCCAGTAATGAAGTACCCACAACTTCTGAACGCAGGCTGTTCCACTGGTTAATTGTTCTCACTGTTAGGAAGTTTGTCCTTAATTCTAGGTTCTTAGGTTGTGGCTACCTGAGATTATCCAAGATGTGGATAGGTATCTCCTTTCTGTGACTTCATATGGGCTTTTATAATTTGGAATTTAGAATTATTAGTAAAATTTATAAAATTCTAAACATGTCAGACCACTTGCATTTTCTCAATTGACTCACATTTGAAAGCTCAATGTTGCTATGGCCCTATTCATATTTCTTTACATATTTAACAGATGTTTTTATGCTACCATAAAATTTGTGAGCATTTAAACTTTTCAGATGATATACTATATTTTCCCACAGTGTTTCCTCTACTTGGGCTGTTTTGAAAGAACTCTTTATATTTTATAGCTATCTTGTCATGTCATATATATTAAAATTCACTCTTATTCAGTCTTTCTTCACAACCTTTGTTTGAACAAAACAACATCTGAGTCAGCTCTTGATAAGAAAGGAATTATGTGTAATTTTAGATTGTGGCATATTATTTATTATTATGACAGTGATAATGTGCCATTTCTACCATAGATTATTAATATTTATTTACAATATTAACCCATAAATACTTCATCCCATTCAATTATAATTAAATGAATTTCATTCTCTTTCATTTCAGTCTCTTTTTAATTCATCCATTTATTTCTCTTTAATATTACAAAAATATAATTAAGCATTTTATGTTGCTTTCTTTTATGTTTGTGTTAGCAGTTATAGTAGCTACAGTAAAGAAACAGAGTTGTTATATACTGTGCCTCATGTAATTGATTTTAATCTATGGTGTATGCTTATTGTACTCTAGCTGTAGAGAAGCAATACTAACATCATGATAGCTATATAGTAAGGATGAATGGGATAGTAATAATGATCTCTTTAAGTGAATCAAGAATGATAGTGAATATAAGACCAATATTATTGTCAATATTTAATTGAGAAATAAATTGTTCAATTCAAAGCACATTAATGTACAGTATACAGATTTCATTGTTTCTATTTGTTTAGTTACTTTCTTTAGGTGAAAGTAAATGAAGTCAGTGTTCAGGTATAACAGAAGCATTCAGGATTAAAATTCCTCAATGTGATAGTTTAAGATGGGGAATAGGAAATTAAGATTTGTGATTATGGCGATGAGGGAGAGTGCACTTGCACACAAAAAAAAAAGGGAAAGAAAGAGATATATTCCTTTTTTTGAGCAAGAACTAGATGTTCTGTCTCCCAATCATTCTAAATTTATTTTAAAATTATCCAAATCTGATGCATGCTGTATAAACTGGACAGACTTATTTGGTTATCAGAACAGTAGATGCATAACCATGTTTCTGTGTCTTGAGGATGTAAAGGATCAAAAACTAGTCACTTGTTCAACTGTTGAGCATGGGGAAAATGTCAGCCAATCCTTGCTCACTTGCCAGAGTGAGTGTACTCAGTGTACCAAGCCACCCTATCAGTTCCATTGGTGTGTGTGTGTGTGTGTACGTGTGTACTGTATGTATGAATGTATGTATTGTGCATATATGTATATGCATATATGTATGTAACTGGAATGTGTAATCTGCCTAGTCAATTGGCTGGTTGTGGAGACACAGCAATTGGCAGACCTTAATCTGAAGGCATGGACCTGAAGCCTGGACTCCAAGAGAAGTATAGAAGGATTTAGCTAGAGGGTTTACCTTCACCTTTCATGTTGTTTGCAGAGACATGTTTGATCTTCTCCAGCTTCCTGTCTCCCTGCCTCATCCTCTACTTCCTACCTTTCATTCAGTGCTCAGTAAAACTGGCCACTGTATTGAGACACTTGCTTATATGTGAAAACAATGGTCTTGCCTGCCTTTTTTGATGCAGTTGAAAAAAATTGACTTAGAATTAAAGTCAGTTAGTTGTTTTGAACCCAAGAATGAGGACAAGCAATTTAGAAGCATGAAAACTCAGATTGCTTGAGTGGATCACGAACAAGGCAATTTAATATAATACCTACACTCATATCTCTTCCCCTTCACCCGAATACAAGACAATAAGGTGATAAATATTGCCTATGTCAGGATCCAAGAATCAAGAAAGACACATGGAGTTAGTTAAGTTAGTTTCTTTACTGTTCTTCATTTAGAGACAGAACCTTGCCACATCAAAGCAACTGTTTGCATAACGACAGATACTGTATCTGGCAACATCTAGGGAAAAAGCCATTTTAATCCTCTTCCTACCAATCAAACTTTACAAGTTCCACAGCTTCTTTGCCCTTTAGAAAACAGCCCCTCCTTCATGGGAATCTAGACTACATTCAAGATGGCAAGCCTCTATTGTTTTCAAAACTCTTAATATTGACAAGCCAACTTGGACTTGAATTTGGACTCCGTCACCTATTCATGAAAGCATGCTGCTCCCAATTCAGCCAAGAATTTCCTCCAGTAAGAGTAAGTACTGTCCTCCCACAGCGGTGAAATATTGTCATTTCTGAAATGCATTCTCTATCCATGGATATAATGCCATTGGCAAGTAGATAATAGAAACTCCATGTGATTTAAGGTAATGTACTATTTAGGCATGTTAGCTTTGGATCCATGTCATTCTTACTTATGTTCCTTCTGTACAGTACTATTTCTCTATCAATTGCATTAAAAAAAAACTGCTTTTAAACTCTGAAAGTCTTTTCCCCAGAATTACAGTATTTTCAAGTGGCCGAACAGCTTAGCTATCATAGATTTTCACGCTTAGGATCATTGCAGCATCCCCATGGCCATGTGATCACAATTCAGACACTTAGCAAATGGTTCATATGTATGATGATTGTAGTGTCCTGGGATCATGGGATCCCTTTTTGTGACCTTCTGCCAAGCAAAGTCATTGGGAAGACATATTCACTTAACAATCGCATTACTAATTTAAATGCAGTGGTTCATTTAACAAGTATGGCAAGAAAGTTCATAAAATGAGACAAAACTCCCTTAACAATGATCTCACTTAGCAACAGAAATTGTGAGCTCGGCAGTTGTCATAAGTGGAGGATTATCTACCTAGCATCCCTCTGTAGAACCATCTAAATCCTAGCATTAGAGGACCATTCTGTGCTAAAACTGGAATGTTTCAAAAAACTATTAGATGAGAAATCTCATTTCTTCCCTGCTAAAATCTACATTCCATGTTACTGAGAAATTCTACCACTATCCCATCCCCACCCCATCCTGGGTCTCAGTGAATTTGATTATGTTTCTAAACGGTCTTTTGATTGCAGTGCTTACCTTGCCCACATATTGAGTATCTGGACCAGTATATTCCTCCAATAAAAAAAATTGATTCCACATCCATCCACGCTTTGTCCGATGCATGGCTTTTCCCTGATCCTTAGCCAGTCCCATTATCCTTTTAGCTTGCAAATACACACTAGTCCTCTTCGGTGACAGTAAAGTAGGAATCTCGTAAAAAATACAAGTCCAAATTAGAAATGACAAGCAGTTGCAAATTTTCATTCTCTGGACCTTCTGCAGACAAGTCTGCTGAACTTGGTATGTCTTTTCCTTTAACCAGTAGAATCTTCTGCAAATGTTGTTGTACTCCTCTTTGAAATAATCTGTAAATTGGATAAATGTTTAGATGAGTATTAAGTTTATATACCTGATGAAACCCCATCACCACCTCATTTTGTGCATGTATGTTACAATGTTCAACTTTCAGAAGATCCTATACACATTAAATAAAGGCCTGAGAAATATCTGCAACAGATTGTACAAATCATATTCTAATAGGATAATATTCAAAGCCCATCAAAATGAAAGGCAGAAATTACCTATAACCAACTTTTTTGCTCTGACTTACCCTAGAGATGAGAATGTATCATTGTGGGCTAGCTATTTTATACAGAAGTTCTAACACCACCATTCCTCTCCTCCCACTTTTTTTGATATCCTGTTATAATGTGTTTCTCCTCTGCGTATCTTTCCAATATCCCTCTTCCCCTTTTAAAAAAATAGTCTGCCAATATTGACACAGACTGATCTTTCTGAAATCTGGAACAGGAGATTGTTTAAATCATTCAAAATTTATGCCAATGAATACATTGTATTTGCAGTAAAGCAAGGTTGTTTAACTTTCCTCTATGGGGAACTGCACTTTAAAAGAAAGGTGTTTTTTTTTTAATCTCAGAGACTGCAGAGACTACGGTCAATAATTTTAAATGGTAAAATTGAGCCACTAAGAATCACCTCAGATCACGAGATGAATATCATTTAAATTTGATAAATGGATGGATGCAGGCTGGGATTCAAAAAATTAGCAACCGGTTCTCTGCCCAGTTGCTGGGTGGTCATGGCCATGGTGGGTGTGGCCTAGTTGGTCTCCTGCACCATGGCAGGAGGGGCATTTTCACCCTCCCTGGGCTCTGGAGGCAGTTTCCAGCCTTCTGGAGCTTCCTCATGGGACCTACACTTACCTGTGACCCACAAGGGACCTTGTGGGGACTCCTGGAAGGGGCAGAGTGGGTGGGGCAGGGCCAGCCATGGGTGGGATTTGCTGATTCACCAAACTGGCTATAAAATTAACAACCAGTTTGCCCAAACCAGTGCAAACTGGTTGTAGCCCACCTTTGGATGGATGGATGGATGGATGCATGCATGGATAATTGAATGATTGATTGATTGATTGATTGATTGACCTATTATTCTAGTCAGGACTGGTCAATGAATAGAGTATTTGCAATTCTTAGCACTGCTTCTGCAGGCTCAAGATTCCTCTGTAGATAGGTTCAAACTTTCTGGCACATTTCTTTTTCTCTTTTTGGGACAGGAGGTGGCAAGCCAGTTTTAAGGGGCCCTTGATATTTTAAGCCTGAGTTTTAGGAAATATTTGAATGAATGCCATAAGGGGCCTATTTGATATTTTAAACCTGAAGCTTAGTGATTCTTTTAATTAATGTCATCATATTTTATAACGCTTAAGGCATGTATTTTGTTCCTTAAGCCTCCATCCAAAACATTGGGATGAAAATTTTGATATCATTTGATTCAAGGGACTTAGACAAAAATTCTGAGAAGGTATACACTGTCCTTTCTTAAAGCCATAGGTTGCATACTTTTGAAAAAAACAATTGGGTATCATAAATAAGCTACTTATTTTATTGTTATATATTTATTCTATTATTATTATGATGATGATGATGATGATGATGATGATGATGATGATGATGATGATGTTTCAAAAGGTTTTGAAACAATGCAGTTTTAGACATCATCATGTTAATATAGATTGTTGCCAATCCAGTTAATGAAAATTGTAAAGTGTTTCTTGCATTTGGATTTGTAGCAGCCATACTATCATTTAAAAGAATGCTGTGCTTCTATGGCAGGGTGTTACTATGATGGCCAATTATAGTAGCAGGTGCTTGATCACTACAGTGACAGCACATGGACAAAAAAATGGGAAATAACATGCAAGCAGCAAGTTGTAGCCTTAAATTGGTTAATTTTATCAGCAATTTAAACACTGGTGCCCTTCACAAGTTTGCCAACAATGAGAATGATAAAAAGGAAAACCAATACTCATATATTCTCAGTGACCTGCTTTTTGATAAATTGTAAATCTGGCTGGAGAACTAGTTTGGAGCTAGAGTGAATAAGGCATCAGATTAGAAACTAGGAGATCATGAGTTCTAGTTCAAGCCTTAGGCACAAAGTCAGTTGGAGGATCTTGAAAGGAGGCAATGACAAACCAGTTCTGAAAAACTTTGTGTCCCCCTTCCAAAAAAAACCCTGCAGGGAGTTGAATGAAAGATATACAAATGCTACAAACACACACACACACACACACACACACACAGTGTTGTTATTCAGCTCGGAATCTTTTTGTTAACTTAAATCCATAAATCTCTTTGTTATTAAACACATATTTTATTCTAATGCAATGAATTTTCAATGAACCCGCAATCTCAGGGGACATTTTGACAAATTGAACATTTATTTATATTCATATTCTTGTTTCATAAAACAGATTTCCAGATTTGCACCCATTCACATACAGTAAAACCAAATTCAGATTGCAGCAAATTAAGAGACACAGTATATTCTTTAGCTAGAGATCAAAGACTATCAATCTAGGCATTTTTATTAAACATACTATATTGCATGATAGTCTATGCAGCGTAATAGGTGAATATGTTTGCTTATTCAACCTAACACTTGAGATGCTCTCTAGTACAGCAGTCGCCAAACGGTGGGCCACGGCCCATTGGTGGGCTGTGAGAAAATTTTGGTGGGCCACAGAGAAATCTCATCCCCAGAGCACCCCTCCAAAGCAATTAATCCATGCTGCATAGAAAACAAGGCTGTGCCATCCATATGGCCCATGGGAACCCTTCCTTCCCACTCACTCCTTACCTGGGAAACTTGCCTGCTAAATTGCTATTTTTCCTTTTTCCGACCATCATCTGTTCTGCTATGCCGGGAGATTTAGATTAGCTAGGAAGCAGAAAATGGTTGGATTTCTTGCTTTCTAGCTAGTCTTTATATTTTCAGCTCTGCTATTAAGTAGAGCTGAACCTCCCTTAAGACTGAAGATTTGCTTGCAAGTAAATTCACTGCAGACTCACGGCAAGCAAATTTGAGAGACTGAGCTAGCCAATGGCAGACAGATCACTGAATGGTTTTGTGAGCAACTCAATCTGCCTGCTTTACCTGATTTTGGGTAAAAGTTGCTCTTTTTTTATAAAAAAAAATCAATATTTACATACATGGAGGAGAGATGTGGCTCTCCTCGACCCTGCTGGTGGTCTCCCCCCTCTTCACCACCTCTACGGGGTGGCTTAGCCCCGAAACCCGCCAGCTCGGGGCACTCCAGCGGTGAGCCCAGACAGAAACCGCACATGATCGCAGATTTCTGTCTGTCACCGAAGCCCTTCAAACCGGAAGTTTTTAAAGGTAAAAGTTAGCAAAAACAAATCTGGAGAAATACAAAAAAAGAAGCAAGGTTTATATTTGTGACATACACATGATTTTTAGAAAGTGGCTTCTGTCATACTCTTGAAGCTAAATAGCAACAATTAGCAACATTACAAGTCACCTGGATGTTTTCGTTGTCTGGTAGGAAAATTACATGGCAATCATCATTGTTGCTAGAAAAGGATTAATTTTGATATAAACTGTAATAAAATTGCAGTGTCAGAGCTTCCTCGTGTCACAAGGACAGAAATGCCAAACTGAAAGAATATTATAGCATTCCCTTGAAATCCTACTGGGTGCTGACATATGCCCTTGTAAAAGCCCAGTGATATTTAAGGCAGATATTTAAGGGTAGAGATTATGATGGAATAGGGTTCTGAATAAAGACAACATGACATAAAGTTGGGCTTCTCCTAGGCAGATGAACAGGCTAAACTACAATTCCAGATGGTGATGTGTAATGCATGTGTTTCATATATAGACTTTGGCTAAGAGCAGGCCACATGATGTTATTTTCTAATTAAGGACCTTCTTCCATTTAGAATTTATCACTTGGAATGAGAGGGATCAAATCCAATGGAGTTCAGTTAAGTTTACCCCAATAATTAATTGCCTCTATCCAGAGGTTGTATTCAGCAGGTTCTGACCAGTTCTGGTGAACCGGTAGCAGAAATTTTGAGTACGTCAAAGAACTGGCAAATGCCATCTCTGACTGGAGATTTTACAGTATCCTTCCCCTGCCATGCCCACCAAGCCATGCCCACAGAACCAGTAGTAAAAAAAAAGAAGTTTAAATCCCACCACTGTCTCTATCTATCCTTTAGTTTCTACTTTGGCAAGATTGGCTTCTAGCTAAGAACAGCATTAGCTTCACATTGTACTTTTTAAAGAAACATAAACTTTTCACATAGACTGAGTGGTTTCCAGTTTCTCTTTAGGCTGTAAATCTCTTAAACTGATTTTTAATGTGATTTTATACTTTTCCCTAGTTAAAAATTATATCTTAAAGCAACCAATTAATATGTGAGATTGTTCTTTGGGGGACATAAAGAGTTTTATTTTGATTGGAGAAATGTTGGTTCCTATCAAATCACAGAACTCTTAGGATGATTTACTCAATCATTCTCTGACTCAACTAATTCACAGATTTGTGGATTTGTGGATTAAGTGGATTGTTTTTTTCACCACATGCATCATAGTAGGATATTACATAATGCATCCTGATAAGGTGAAATGCATCTTCACTGCTTTATTGAACATTATTGTTTTTTATGTCAACTCTGTACTTTTGCGTAGAGATTCTTCCCTTCTTTTAAGATATACTCCTATGAATTAGAAATATGGAAGCTTCAAAAATCTATCACAGATTTCTTTTGAGAGAAATGATGTGATTGATTGGGTGTAAAGGGCAACATAATTCATGGAATTCACTAGTGTCTGCTGAAATATTTCTCAGCTTAAGAGATTGCATAATAAAATGTGCAATA